CCTCATCTCTCTCCGGTCAAATTAAATGCTTAAATGCAAACAAACAAAAAAAAAAACAGTCAAAACCCTCATGCCAAGTACATGTGTGTGCGTGCCCGAAATCCCAAGAGGCGAATGGAGGAGAAGGGATTGTGGCAGAGCCATCCCCTGTGGGGGTGATTTCTCGCTTTCTGTCTCTGTCTCTCTAGCACGTACACACACACTGTAGCAAAAAAACTCTCTCAAGAAAACACACAAAAAAGATGCATATATGGGGCCAGCAGGTGGCATAGTAGTAACGTTGCTGGACTCTCACATGGCTGACCACAGTTCAAATCCTGGACTTGGCAGCTTGAAAATCACACTGGGTACATGTGCTTGCATACCCAAAATCCTAAGAGGAGAATGGAGGAGAAGGGATTGTGGTATAGCCTTCCTCTCAGAAAGTGATTTCTCCCTTTGCTTCTCTTCATTTCTCTTCAGTGAGCACACACACCCAATGACCAATAATCTTAAAAAAAAAAAAAAAAGAAGAAGAAGAAGATACATATTCTGTTATATAATATACCTCACAGATAAACCTAATATCTAATTCTTACTACAAAAGTTGAATCATAAACACTGTTCGAGTAATGAATGAAGTTTTATCACAAGCAATACCATAACGATCCTTTATCTTGAAGGAATGATACAAAGATGCTGACTCTGCTTAATTTCCTCTCTCGGTTATTTTCTGTGGTAGAGAAGAGAACAGGGTTGGCTTAACTGAAGGAAAAGTGGAGAGCTCTGCCCGTAACTGAACTTGCATTTGTTTGCACATAAGTGCCTAGAGCACGTGAATGATCTTTAAAGAAATCCGAGTTGAATGCTAGTGAGGCTAACACAAAAGTATTCTTCAGAATTACTTCATATAAAGAGTTCTAGTAGAAAGTGATTTTCTATTTAGGAAAATGGTAAGAAGGATGGATTGGGAGAAGTGGAAGAAAGTGGTTAGTGCTGAAGTAGTTAAAAGATCATAGCCTGTAGTGGTTTTAGATGAGCATTGCTATCCATTGTATTCTATGTTTTCATATCATTGTTAAGTTTGTAGTTACGGCCATTTATTTATTTATTTATTTAGAAGTTTTTCCTATAGGGTGTGTGTGCTCACCAAAAAGACAGAGACGGAGAGACAGAAAGCGAGAAATCACCCCCCCCCCAGGGGGGATGGCCACGCTGAAATCCCTTCTCCTCCATTCTCCTCTCGGGATCTTGGGCACGCACGCACACGCGCCCAGCGTGAGTTTAAGCCACCAGGTCTGGGACTCACACCGTGGTTGACTACATGAGAGTTCAGCGACATAGCCGTTATGCTAACTGCTAGTCTCCATAGTTTGGTCCTTTTTTATGTTTATTTTTGCTATAGGGCACATGCACTTGCCGGAGAGAGCTGAGGCAAGGGCAGGAGGCTGGTGAGAAAGCAGTCCTTTTCCTCTATTCTCCTATTTGGGTTTTGTCCACACTCACCTGAAGTGTTTTTCAAGCTGCCAGGTGTGGACTTGAACCGTGCTATTGGCCACAAAGGGTCTAGCCACCTTAACCACTTTACCACTGACATTCTTTATTAAAAGAAAAAAAATACATATTTTCGTGGTGGTTTTCTTCTTTATAATTGGCTTAATGGAAAGGGGTTTTTTCTTCTTTTTAAATTTGCCCATTGGCTGCTTTTGATTTCGTTCGTTTTGTAGATATGTGATAAATTATAGTTTGAAAAAAATCAAATCCATATTTTCATGTAATGGATGGCATAGGACAAGCTAACTTTTAAAAAAGATTTATTTATTTATTTATTTCAGTTTGTTGCTGTTTTTGCTTTGTTTCGTTTTTTAATTTGATCAGAGAGAAACAGAGAGATAGAGAAAGGGAAATTGAAAAAGCAAGCTGCCAGGTCCAGGACTCCAACTATAGTCGGCCATGTGGGAGTCCAATGCCTTAACTACCATGCCACCTCTATCCCCAATCTGACTCTTTTAAGAAAAGTAATTTTCATTTACATATCCTTTGTGTCTGGTAATCACACATTTTCTGTGGGCATTTTTTTTTTTTTTGAGCCCAAGCCTGAGGTAATTCTCATAAATCAGAAAGCATCTTCATTTATTAGTATTTCCTTTTACAAGGGACGCTACAGTGCTTGGCCACTGTTTCTGGACCCTCTATTCTTACATTGGATAGCTCTTTAATGTCATATATCCCAAATTCCCACAAAAGGCAAGCCACTAGCTAGTTCTCCTCCCCTTTTCTTTTTTTAATCTCTTACCTTCCTTAGTCTAGGTCTTCTCCTTTTTTTTTTCTCTCAAGTTTTGCCTAATAGAGCAACCATGAAAACAGTCCTAGCTCAAACTTTAAACTTAGACCTGCCAAGTGTGAAAATCCTTGGGCCTAAAATTGTTGATCTCAGGGGCTAGCCAGTGATATGGTGATTAAGGCAGTGGGATCCCATAGGATTTATCCCCCTGAGGGGTGATTTCTCACTTTCCCTCTCTTCCTCCATCTTTCTCAGGGATCACACATGCCTTCTAGCAAAATTAAAGAAGAAAAATAATTGTTTATCTCTACTAGACCTTTCCATTAAGCTGGAGGTTCACTTATGTATTTGCATATAAGTTATGTAGAACCTTAAATTTGCATAGATGTCTTTAGGCTTACAAATATTCTCAGGTGATTTTCAAGTCAAAATTATGGTAGCCTGTACCCTTAAGGAAGTTCTCGAATTTTCTATTCTCCACACCTTTTCACCTACCATTTACTATATGTGACCCAAAATCTTATGTCAGCAACCCATAGATAGTTGATAGAAGTTTTGAGAAAGTAATACAAGGAAAAAAAGGTTAAAAAATAGCAAAAATTTGTTTTTGGGAGAATGGTTCACACTTGAGAATAGCTTCTCTCTGAGAAGAAGGAACCTTAGCCATGAGATAATCTAACCCATGGAATAATTTTTATAGAATTGAAAGTAAAGATTTTATTATTGCATAAATTATTTGGTCGCTGGAAAAGTCACGATGCAATGTATAGAAAAACAGAAAAATTATGTCGTGACTTTCCCAACGAGCCAATAATAAAATTAATCATGAGAAAAAATAATCTTCATTGCTGCATAATTACTTGAATAGCGAAATCATTTGTACCTGCCTGGAGTTTTGTTCTCTTTATTCTGTGCTTGGGGCAGTTTCCAAGTCCTTTTATGCAGAATTTTGTTTTTTTTCAGAGAAATGTGGCTGGGATGGGGAGAACCTTGCGGTTCTGGAGGTGACTGGGCTAAGGAAATGGAATGAATTAGTGTTTTTTAGGGGAGTTGAGTGGGAGAGAAGAGATAGCAAGGTGTCAAGAGCAAAGAAAAGGGTGTCTAAAGTGTTCGTAGTTCCTTTTGCTTCCTAACTTGACATTTATTAATTGGATAAAAACAGAAAAAAGGAAGAAAAGAAAAAAGTGACAAGATGCCAATCCCTTGGCTCTCCTTTCTCTCTATCCTCTTCTTGCTCCTCAGCTTCCCAAGATTAAGGCCTGCCTAGAGCTGAGCAGTGGGACAGCTCCTCTCAGATGAGGTCAACAATGTTGAGGGCATCTCCTTCATGGTCACACTATAGGTCTTTATGTGTCAGGAGTCCTTTTGTCATCTTCTGTCACCATGACAGCCAGACCCTTGTAGCTAAAATCTCCATCTTGACCAACTGTATTAATACAGTTTTCTCTGTTAGTGGGATTGTCATAGTTGATGACTAAAGAATTTGGTGTGCCTCAATGCCTCTGGCCTCTACCGAGAACAGTAACTAAAACATGTAAATTATAAGGGGATAGAGACCAGCAGATGATGTAATGGCTGTGTTGCTGGACTCCCATGTAGTTGACCACAGTTCGAGTCCCGGACCTGGTGACTTAAACTCATGCTGGGCACATGTGCGTGCGTGCCCAAGATCCCAAGAGGAGAATGGAGGAGAAGGGATTGTGGTGTGGCCAGTTGCTTTCTTTCTCTCTATCTCTCTCTTTCTGGCAAGTGCATGCACCCTATAGCAAAAACCTCTCTAAAAAAAAAAAAAAAAAAATAGAAGGAGATACAATCTATGTCGTATGTGAGCAAAAAGAGGATGTAATTTGTGTACAAAAGGGATTTAAGTATACATGTAAGCAACCCAAGAAGGCAATGGAAATAAGCATCTCCTGAACCCTAGAAACCTTTAGCATGCCGGATTTTATTGCAAGTTGCTACTTTCCAGAGAGGGGAACTGCTTGACCTGTGGGAGTAGAAGTCACCTGGGGTTGGTTTTCACCTTTAACTGCCTAGGTTTTATCTCCTCCGCTTATGTCTGCACACATTGTTATAATACATGTCCAGGGGGCAGAGGAGGACCTGGGAAGAGGCCAGCAGGGATGGAGATCGATGGCTGAAATTTGGCTTTAGTTGTCCTCTCTATGAGCCAGCAGGGTTGACACCCTGGGTATTTTGCAATCATTTGTTTAATTAGCTTAAACTCCTAAGGGAAAATTTCATGAAATGGCAAACTTGCAAAGCCTAATTTAAATCTGTTATTCTATGTATGACAAAATTTCATAATTCAGAGACGGTTTAAAAAAAAAAAAGCACCAATGAATGAATCCCGTCTAAACCTTCCAGTACCAAAAGCAGTATACATTACAGACACATAAAAACAAATAATATGGGTTAAAATATTATTCACATGAGACAACATAGGTAAATATTTGCAAGTGGCTAAAACAATCATATTTTTCAGTGGGAGGTTTTAAACAATTCTTCTGTTTTCTCCCTTTCTTTTTTCCCTGTGGATTTTCCCACATAGATACATGTATAATCCAGTTTACATTGTTATTGTCTAATAATTTTTGAAGTTTATTTACTTATTTCTTCCATGAGTGAGAGAGAGAGAAGCAGTACTCCCAACAGGGTCTTACTGCCGTGATCCACCCCCAGTCTCAGCCACCCCCAGATCACAGATGCATATCTACCTAACATACTTAGGAAAGTCTTAGGATGTGAACCCAGTACTTTCCCATGTGGGTTGGCCTAACTGAGCATTGGGCTTCCCTATGGTGTCACCATCCAGCTTCTTGTCTAATAATATATATTTTTTTAAATTTTCAAGATATTTAATCGTTTTGGGGACAATTATAGAGATTCCTCTAAAAACTATAAAATGTTATCATTCTGTGTTGGTGCTTTTAGTTAGATTTAGGAAGCTGGCTGATAGAAAAGGCCCATGAGCCCAGGTTTCTTCTTGGGTATAGACCCAAAGACAGCTGTGAACTGTGAGTCATCCTCCCCTGGGAGAAAAACCATCTGGTTGATGCTTTCCCCTTCTCAGGTGTTTTTTTGCTGAGAAAAAAAAAAAATCAGCTCTATCATTTGTAAAATCAAAATCTTATTAATGAATTGATTCCAGATGAATAAAATTCATTAGGTTTGCAATCATCTTAGGGCTCGAAAGCATGAGTTGACTTGAAAGCAACTTGTGTTGTATATGAAGCTGCATCATTTGCTATTTTCAGTGACTGATGACTTTAGTATAATTTTATAAAAGATCAGCTAAATGGAGCCTTCTAGTCATGAATGCATATAGTCTACACTGAAGATGATAGTTTATATACTGGAAATCGGAAACAGGTGTTGTAACACTGGTTCTTTAAGGGCTGTGGCAAATTGCTTTCAGTAGTAGGCTATGAGGAAACACATGTAAGAAAAGAAAAAGAGCAACTTATAATCCTTGCAGTTATTACATCCTCTGTACTATATTGAGAGACTTCAATGGAAACAGGGTATAAAGAGTATCGAGGGATTGAATCTTTTAAAATGTGTATCTAGCTTGGAAAGGTATGATAGGAGAGAGACACTGATTCATTTTCTTGTAACATGTCATAGGGTGCATGTGCTTGCCAGAGAGATAGAAAGAAAAAGAGAGGGAAAGTGAGAAAGCATGCTCCCCACTCCCCAGGAAGGATAGCCATGTTGTAATCCCTTCTCCTTTATTCTCTTGGGATTTTGGACATTCACACACATGAGATTGGCATGCTTTTCAAGCTGCTCAGTCCAGGATTCAAACCCTGAAGTCAGCTATGTGGTGTCCAGCTGCTTTATATA